GAATAGTTATAGCATAATTATTTGTTTCATTATAATTAAGGTATTATTGATACACAGTTTTATGAAGGTTTCACATGGGCAATTGTGGTTTCAATATTCACTCATATTATCAAGTCCCCCCCATACCCCATTTGCAGTCCCTGTTATCAGTGTAGTAAGATGCCACAGAGTCACTACTTATCTTCTCTGTGCTATACTGCCTTCCCTGTCACCTACCTATATTGTGACTGCTAATTGTAATGCCACTTAATCCCCTTCCACTCCCTTCCGAACCCTTTTCCTTTGGTAACTGCTAGTCCCTTTTTGGAGTCTGTGAGTTGGATGCTATTTTGTTCTTCAGTTTTACATTGTTGGTGTACTCCACAAATGAGTGAAATCATTTTGTACTTGTCTGTCTCCACCTGGCTTATTTCGCTGAGCATACTACACTCTAGCTCCATCCACATTGTTGCAAATAGTAGGATTTGTTTTCTTCTTATGGCTGAATAATATTCAATTGAATGTCTGTACCGGATCTTTATCCATTCATCTATTGATAGACACTTATGTTGCTTCCATATTTTGGCTATTGTAAATAGTGCTGTGATAACCATAGGGGTGCATATGTCTTTTTGAATCAGGGATGTTGTTTTCTTAGAGTAAATGCCTAGGAGTGGAATTCCTGGGTCAAATGGTATTTCTATTTTTAGTTTTTTGAGGAACCTCCGTAATGGTTGAACTAGTTTACATCCCCAACAACACCGTAGGAGGGTTCCTCTTTCTCTGCATCCCGCCAGCATGTGTTGTTCCTTGTGTTTTGGATGTTGGCCAGCCTAATTGGTGTGAGGTGATATCTCATTGTGGTTTTGATCTGCATTTCCGTGATGATTAGGAATGTGGAGCATCTTTGCATGTGCCTCTTGGCCATCTGAATTTCTTCTTTGGAGAAGTGTCTGTTCGTATCTTCTGCACATTTTTTGGGGGGGGTATCATTAATCTAAAATTACATGAGTAACATTATGGTTACTAGACTTCCCCATTATCAAGTCCCCATGACATACCCCATTACACTCACTGTCCATCAGTGTAGTAAGATGCTATAGAGTTACTACTTGTCTTCTCTGTGTTGTACAGCCTTCCCCATGCCCCCCCACACACATTGTCTGCTAATCGTAATGCCCCTTTTTCCACCTTATCCCTCCATTCCCATCCATCCTCCCCAATCCCTTCCCCTTTGGTAACTGTCAGTCCATTCTTGGGTTCTGTGAGTCTGCTGCTGTTTTGTTCCTTCAGTTTTTTCTTTGTTTTTATACTCCACTTATGAGTGAAATCATGTGATACTTGTCTTTTTCTGCCTGGCTTATTTGACTGAGCATAATACCCTCTAGCTCCATCCATGTTGTTGCAAATGGTAGGATTTGTTTTCTTCTTATGCCTGAATAATATTCCATGTGTATATGTACCACAACTTCTTAATCCTTTCATCTACTGATGGACACTTAGGTTGCTTCCATTTCTTGGTTATTGTAAACAGTGCTGTGATAAACATAGGGGTTCATATGTCTTTTTCAAACTGGGCTGCTGCATTCTTAGGGTAAATTCCTAGAAGTGGAATTCCTGGGTCAAATGGTATTTCTATTTTGAGTTTTTTGAGGAATCTCCCTACTGCTTTCCACAATCATTGAACTAATTTACATTCCCACCAGGAGTGCAGGCGGGTTCCCCTTTCTCCATCCTGACACCAACATTTGTTGTTGTTTGTCTTTTGGATGGTGGCCATCCTTACTGGTGTAAGGTGATATCTCGTTGTAGTTTTAATTTGCATTTCTCTGATGATTAGTGATGTGGGGCATCTTTTCATGTGCCTGGTGACCATCTGAATTTCTTCTTTGGATAAGTGTCTGTTCAGATCCTCTGCCCATTTTCTAATTGGATTATTTGCTTTTTGTTTGTTGAAATGTGTGAGCTCTTTATATATTTTGGATGTCAACCCTTTATCAGATCTGTCATTTATGAATATATTCTCCCATATTGTAGGATGCCTTTTTGTTCTATTGGTGGTGCCCTTTGCTCTACAGAAGCTTTTCAGCTTGATATAGGCCCACTTGTTCATTTTTGCTTTTGTTTCCCTTGCCTGGGAAGATATGTTCATGAAGAAGTTGCTCATGTTTATGTCCAAGAGATTTTTGCCTATGTCTTTTTCTGAGAGTTTTATGGTTTCATGGCTTCAGGTCTTTGATCCATTTAGAATTTACTTTTGTGTATGGGGTTAGACAATGATCCAGTTTCATTCTCTTACATGTAGCTGTCCAGTTTTGCCAACATCAGCTGTTGAAGATGCTGGCATTTCCCCATTGTACGTCCATGGCTCCTTTATCATATATTAATTGACCATATATGTTTGGGTTAATATCTGGACTCTCTATTCTGTTCCACTCGTCTGTGGCTCTGTTCTTGTGCCAGTACAAAATTGTCTTGATTACTGTGGCTTTGTAGTAGAGCTTGAAGTTAGGAAGCGACTGAGATACCCCCTGCTTTATTCTTCCTTCTCAGGATTGCCTTGGCTATTTGGGGTCTTTTGTGGTTCTGTATGAATTTTAGAACTATTTGTTCCAGTTTGTTGAAGAATGTTCTTGGTATTTTGATAGGGATTGCATTGAATCTGTAGATTGCTTTAGGCAGGATGGCCATTTTGACAATATTAATCCTTCCTACCAAAGAACATGGGATGAGTTTCCATTTGTTAGTGTCCTCTTTAATTTCTCTTAAGAGTGTCTTGTAGTTTTCAGGGTATAGGTCTTTCACTTTCTTAATTAGGTTTGTTCCTAGATATTTTATTCTTTTTGATGCAATTGTGAATGGAATTGTTTTCCTGATTTCTCTTTTTTCTAGTCGATCATTAATGTATAGGAAAGCAACAGATTTCTGCATATAATATTGTATCCTGCAACTTTGCTGAATTCAGATATTAGATCTAGTAGTTTTGGAATTGATTCTTTAGGGATTTTTATGTACATTATCATTTCATCTGCAAGCAATGACAGTTCAACCCCTTCCTTGCCAATCTTGATGCCTTTTATTTCTTTGTGTTGTCTGATTGCCATGGCTGCGACCTCCAGTACTATGTTGAATAAAAGTGGGGAGAGTGCGCTTCCTTGACTTGTTTTTTATCTTAA